GGATCATTGCTGTATATCGAGGAACATTTATAATGATATTTATGTTATTGCATTCATACGCCAATTTTCCTTGCACATGTTTACAGATGTATATTCTCTTGCTGATAGTGCAACATTGTATTATAAGAGTTGATCTACTTGAGGAGGTTGATAGTATCAGGTGGTGAATCAGGAGATAGGAATCCACTTGATAAGCTGATGATAGAGTTCTGGTGGTGTTGGAGTGCAACCTGACTGAAATAGTATAGAGTGTATGATTCATTATTATTATTATTATATGTGTGTATGTATTGTGTATGTGCTTGGTTCAGTAAATGTATTCCAATTTGCTGGTGTTTGCCCTTGTCCTAGTGAGACTTCCCAGGATGTTGTAAAGAAGGAGAGAGAGAGAGAAAGAACCAAAAACCACTGCTGTGGAAAGGGTTGAATGAAAAACTAATAAGTCAAAGGGGACTGAGGATATCATATCCCATAAGGAGAGAGTGGGGAGTCGCAGTGGCTCGAGTGGGTGTGTGCACGTGACAACGAGGCTGAGTATTGGAGCCGCATCCCTTAAACGAGGGGCTCAACATCAGCCTCTCTCCAAGAGCCAGAAGCGCCCAGGGTGATCTCCTGGTATAGTATTAGCACTCTACCGAGTTGTGGGTTCGGCTGTCCAGAAAGAAAGACCAACAACACGACAACACCACCAACCCACACTACAATACAAGCCACCAGGCAGGGGAGCGCGGGAACAAGTCACCAGGCAGGGGAGGGCAGGAACAAGCCACCAGGCAGGGGAGCGCGGGAACAAGTCACCAGGCAGGGGAGGGCAGGAACAAGTCACCAGGCAGGGGAGGGCAGGAACAAGCCACCAGGCAGGGGAGGGCAGGAACAAGCCACCAGGCAGGGGAGGGCAGGAACAAGCCACCAGGCAGGGGAGCGCGGAAACAAGTCACCAGGCAGGGGAGGGCAGGAACAAGTCACCAGGCAGGGGAGGGCAGGAACAAGCCACCAGGCAGGGGAGGGCAGGAACAAGCCACCAGGTAGGGGAGGGCAGGAACAAGCCACCAGGCAGGGGAGGGCAGGAACAAGTCACCAGGCAGGGGAGGGCAGGAACAAGTCACCAGGCACGGTAGGGCAGGAACAAGCCACCAGGCAGGGGAGGGCAGGAACAAGTCACCAGGCAGGGGAGGGCAGGAACAAGCCACCAGGCAGGGGAGGGCAGGAACAAGTCACCAGGCACGGTAGGGCAGGAACAAGCCACCAGGCAGGGGAGGGCAGGAACAAGTCACCAGGCAGGGGAGGGCGGGAACAAGCCACCAGGTAGGGGAGGGCAGGAACAAGTCACCAGGCAGGGGAGGGCAGGAACAAGCCACCAGGCAGGGGAGGGCAGGAACAAGTCACCAGGCACGGTAGGGCAGGAACAAGTCACCAGGCACGGTAGGGCAGGAACAAGCCACCAGGCAGGGGAGGGCAGGAACAAGTCACCAGGCAGGGGAGGGCGGGAACAAGCCACCAGGTAGGGGAGGGCAGGAACAAGTCACCAGGCAGGGGAGGGCAGGAACAAGCCACCAGGCAGGGGAGGGCAGGAACAAGTCACCAGGCACGGTAGGGCAGGAACAAGCCACCAGGCAGGGAGGGCAGGAACAAGTCACCAGGCAGGGGAGGGCGGGAACAAGCCACCAGGCAGGGGAGGGCAGGAACAAGCCAATAGGCAGGGGAGGGCAGGAACAAGCCACCAGGCAGGGGAGGGCAGGAACAAGCCACCAGGCAGGGGAAGGCAGGAACAAGCCACCAGGCAGGGGAGGACGGGAACAAGCCACTAGGCAGGGGAGGGCGGGAACAAGCCACCAGGCAGGGGAGGGTGGGAACAAGCCACCAGGCAGGGGAGGGCAGGAACAAGACACCAGGCAGGGGAGGGCGGGAACAAGTCACCAGGCAGGGGAGGGCGGGAACAAGCCACCAGGCAGGGGAGGGTGGGAACAAGCCACCAGGCATGGGAGGACGGGAACAAGCCACCAGGCAGGGGAGGGCAGGAACAAGCCACCAGGCAGGGGAGGGAGGGAACAAGCCACCAGGCAGGGGAGGGCGGGAACAAGCCACCAGGCAGGGGAGGGCGGGAACAAGCCACCAGGCAGGGTAGGACGGGAACAAGCCACCATGCAGGGGAGGGCGGGAACAAGCCACCTGGTAGGGGAGGGCGGGAACAAGCCACCAGGCAGGGGAGGGCAGGAACAAGCCACCAGGCAGGGGAGGCCAGGAACAAGCCACCAGGCAGGGGAGGGCGGGAACAAGCCACCAGGCAGGTGAGGGTGGGAACAAGCCACCAGGCAGGTGAGGGTGGGAACAAGCCACCAGGCAGGGCAAGACGGGAACAAGTCGCCAGGCAGGGGAGGGCGGGAACAAGCCACCAGGTAGGGGAGGGCGGGAACAAGCCACCAGGCAGAGGAGCGCCTGAACAAGCCACCAGGCAGGGGAGGGCGGGAACAAGCCACCAGGCAGGGGAGGGCAGGAACAAGCTACCAGGCAGGGGAGGGCAGGAACAAGCTACCAGGCAGGGGAGGGCAGGAACAAGCCACCAGGCAGGGGAGGGCGGGAACAAGCCACCAGGCAGGGAACAAGCCACCAGGCAGGGGAGGGCAGGAACAAGCCACCAGGCAGGGGAGGACGGGAACAAGCCACCAGGCAGGGGAGGGCGGGAACAAGCCACATGGCAGGGGAGGACGGGAACAAGCCACATGGCAGGGGAGGACGGGAACAAGCCACCAGGCAGGGGAGGGCGGGAACAAGCCACATGGCAGGGTAACCAGCTGACCGCCAAACACAAGCACTACACCTGTGGCCAGATGAATCTGGCCTTCAGAGGTTTCTTCAAGGGTTCTGCCTACAGCATATCTTCTGACTCATGTATTTTTCCTCTTTTTCACAAATCGCTTGTTATCGTTGTTGTTGTTGTTGTTTGAAAATCAGCTACTCGGAACGAGTTCCAAGTAGCACGGGCTATGGTGAGCCCGTACCTTACCTGGTACAAGAACGGGGCAAGTAGCACGGGCTATGGTGAGCCCGTACCTTACCTGGTACAAGAACGGGGCCAAGTAGCACGGGCTATGGTGAGCCCGTACCTTACCTGGTACAAGAACGGGGCCAAGTAGCACGGGCTATGGTGAGCCCGTACCTTACCTGGTACAAGAACGGGGCAAGTAGCACGGGCTATGGTGAGCCCGTACCTTACCTGGTACAAGAACGGGGCAAGTAGCACGGGCTATGGTGAGCCCGTACCTTACCTGGTACAAGAACGGGGCAAGTAGCACGGGCTATGGTGAGCCCGTACCTTACCTGGTACAAGAGCGGGGCAAGTAGCACGGGCTATGGTGAGCCCGTACCTTACCTGGTACAAGAACGGGGCAAGTAGCACGGGCTATGGTGAGCCCGTACCTTACCTGGTACAAGAACGGGGCAAGTAGCACGGGCTATGGTGAGCCCGTACCTTACCTGGTACAAGAACGGGGCAAGTAGCACGGGCTATGGTGAGCCCGTACCTTACCTGGTACAAGAACGGGGCAAGTAGCACGGGCTATGGTGAGCCCGTACCTTACCTGGTACAAGAACGGGGCCAAGTAGCACGGGCTATGGTGAGCCCGTACCTTACCTGGTACAAGAACGGGGCCAAGTAGCACGGGCTATGGTGAGCCCGTAGTAGACTTACCTGGCACAGGAGCGGTGTGTGTGCTAAGAGTTAAACTTCCGCTGGTTACCATCCTGTAGTATATTAAGAGACTATATAATGCTAAATGTTATTACATGTTTCAATGGCCGTATTTTAGGTTATCTGAAATAAAAAAATTAAGGCTACCTAAACTCATTCAGTTTTCAATAGCTGAAAAAGGTTATCATTTAAAGATTTGAAGACAAGCCACAAGTATATTAATATGTTTAGTCATGGTCGCTGGAGCGCATTGCTTGACCAGGCTTGTGACCATGTCTTACGTAAGCAAACAGAACAGGGAAACAGTCACAGTTGCATAACTGATATTTACCCAATTGCTCATTAGTCTACACACAAGGACTAACTTGTTTTAACAATTATTTTTTTTAGATCATTTCAGGGGGTAATAAGAAATGTGTTCACCGCTACACATGCCACAAAGAGTGAACATTTCATAATACTCAACACGTTTTCCTGAATAGGTCTGGCCGGGTACGGTCTGGCACATCTGGTCTGGCCGGGTACGGTCTGGCACATCTGGTCTGGCCGGGTACGGTCTGGCACATCTGGTCTGGCCGGGTACGGTCTAGCACACATCTGGTCTGGCCGGGTACGGTCTGGCACATCTGGTCTGGCCGGGTACGGTCTGGCACATATCTGGTCTGGCCGGGTACGGTCTGGCACATATCTGGTCTGGCCGGGTACGGTCTGGCACATCTGGTCTGGCCGGGTACGGTCTGGCACATCTGGTCTGGCCGGGTACGGTCTGGCACATCTGGTCTGGCCGGGTACGGTCTGGCACATCTGGTCTGGCCGGGTACGGTCTGGCACATCTGGTCTGGCCGGGTACTTGACCACAGTGAGGAAGGCAGCAAGGATGTCACAAAACATAAAATAGACTCACAACAGCAGCAACAAGCGTGTAGACACAGATCTTGGCCAGTACCCACCTTGCATCTGTCTTTAAGAGCTGCTCGAGGTTCTCTGGTCTGGCCGGGTACGGTCTGGCACATCTGGTCTGGCCGGGTACGGTCTGGCACATCTGGTCTGGCCGGGTACTTGACCACAGTGAGGCAGGCAGCAAGGATGCTCACAATAGACATAATAGACTCACAACAGCAGCAACAAGCGTGTAGACACAGATCTTGGCCAGCACCCACCTTGCATCTGTCTTTAAGAGCTGCTCGAGGTTCTCTGGTCTGGCCGGGTACTTGACCACAGTGAGGAAGGCAGCAAGGATGCTCACAATAGACGTAATAGACTCACAACAGCAGCAACAAGCGTGTAGACACAGATCTTGGCCAGTACCCACCTTGCATCTGTCTTTAAGAGCTGCTCGAGGTTCTCTGGTCTGGCCGGGTACTTGAGCACAGTGAGGAAGGCAGTAAGGTTGCCCCGGTAAGCCGTGCCCACGATGAAGGCCAACACCAGCCACGCTCCCACCACAATCTGTGTGGAGCTCCTGCTGGGGAGGCGTCTGGTGAGGTCCTGCCCCAGAAGCGTCCCCACCACGTCCTGCGCCACCAGCAAGGGTCCTGGGGGACTCCTTCCTTCTCCTTCCTCTGGGGTGATGGTCACCTCCAAGCGAGCAACCTGCGAGTCAACAACAGTGAGTGAGACATGCATGCAGACAGCTTGGCAGGGATCTACCAACCAAAAATTTAGATATTTACTTTAAGGATTGTAATAGGTGTGACTACCTTTGCTACTGCTTGTCCAACCTGTGGTGCCTTAGTGCTTGTTGTCACCAGCTGAGAGAGTTGTTGGCGTGGATCCGGAGGCTCTTTAAAAAATGTAACCCTGCTGTATCAATTTACGGGTTTTGTTAAATACTGTCTAACTTTATTGCTATATCTACCATACATATTGTATTATTAACAGTATCATTATTATTATTTTTCTATACCACATACAGAATACTGGCATACTGTAATCAACACCACCATATATAGCCACCATCGCCATATATAGAATACTCGCATATTGTCATTAACACCATTTAAGGAAACTCGCATACTGTCTTCAACACGACCTATAGAATACTCCCATACTGTCATTAACGCCAAATATAGAATACTCGTTTACCATCAACGACACATATAGAAAACTTGTTTATGTTCTAGCCTGAGGGTGTTGGGGCTTATGGAACGTCGCCGGGCGTCGTCGCCGGGCGAAAGTGTTAAATTAATATTAACACTTTAGCCTCCAAAGAAAGCTCTGTTTGTTGTACTAGACTGTCACTTGCGTACAGGCGGACAACGTCCCCCAACCACTCTCTGCCGGAACAGACAACCGACCACGGCAGCCACACCCGCTACTGTCGGTCGACCAACAGTGAACACTGGAGTGATTGAAACTTACTCAGGAGATCACCCTGTACGCCTCTTGATCTCGGAGAGGGGTTCAGCATCACACGTTTAGGGGTCCAGCTCCAACACTGGCCTCGTTGTCTTGTGTATACACTCTACTTGTGCCACCATGACTCCCCACTCTCTCCTTGTTTGGAATGATCTCGTAAGTCCCCTTTTGTGAATTAGTATTCTCTGCCACCCTGTCTGCAGCTGTGACCCCTTTCTCTCTTTCTCCTGCTTTCTGGGAAGCCTCACCAGAACAAGAGCAAAAACAACCTAAAAATACACATTTAATAAAAAAAAACATACACAATACATGATATAATAAAAATATAATATTATCGGACAACACTCTAAGCTGCTACAACCCAGTAGCAATCCAATATCATATCCTGGCTTCATCAATCGTCCATATCAAGTGGGTACTCAACTCTTGGCTTACCACTTACTACTCCCTAAATAAATGAGGCTGAAATCTCATCACAACAATATTATACACCCAGCCCTAAAACTACATAAAACTCAGCCTGTGGCTGAAACACCAGAAACATCTGCATAAATATTACCCAACACAAGAAGAAATCAATCTCTCAGTACATAAACACAGAATACAAACCAGGCCAAAAACACACCAAAAAACTGAAACATAACAGAAAGTATACGTACACCTTGGATACACAAGTACACGCATCACAGGACAGTGCGAAAACACACAGAACAAGGGAAAACAGAAATACATTATAGTATACTGAAAGATACGGCAAAAACATCCAATACAATACAAGGAAAAAAACAATAAACCCATACCAGTGGAAAAGAAACACATACTAAGGCCACTAAAAACAAGTTGAGGCCGTTACTTCCTCCAACACATTTAACACGGAAATGAAGAACCCAAAACGTTGGGTTATACGTTATATATATACGTTATATATATATACGTTGGGGAAGTATATAACCCTAAACAAGCATTCGACCACACCTAAACCGAAAGCAATGACGCGAAGGCAATTAGATGGAAGCCTTAAACCCCAAACAAGCAGACAGCCACATCCAAACTGAACAATAAACAGGGGAACACGGGATACAGGAAATCCAGTTACTAGAACGAAGAGAACAACTGATAATAAACAGACTAAATGCATCACACCACACACACACACCTAGATAATCGTCAGAAGCTAGGAAGTGAGATACTTCAAAACCTCGCCCCAATACACTCACTCGGTGCCCGCATCAAAAGGGGGATGCAGCCCTAAACACATGGGTCAAGGATCAGGCACCATATAATAATCCGGCGGCATATTGTAAGCCGAATACGGTAAATCAGACCGAGAAGCAGGGCGAGGAGCACGGGAAGCATGAAGAAGCAGAAGGTCCCAAGAGGAGGGGTCACAAGTCCGCAAACACAAATCTGCATAACCACCGGCACCGGGATCAACGACCCCCCACCTCTTTACACTGGCACTGAGGGCCCACTGGCCTTCACCGGCAAGGGATCCACCACACCCCGCCCCTGCTCCACGTCAACCACTGCCTCATCCACCCTACCCGCATCTGCCACAGGCATCAATTTGTCTGGACTACTTACGGACCGTAACTGGGCAGGCTTCTTTCTACGTTGCAGATCGTCCGAACTCAACTCTCATACTGTCATGAACGCCAGTGTAGTCCTGTAGACGTCGAGGGAAGTGCACATCCTCCATTGGAGAGGCAGTCAGAACCGCCTCCTCAGACGAGGGGGGAACCACCCATGGCCAGGGACCCCACAGGCGGAGCAAGAGCCCCCGACCTGCTCTCCAGCAACAGACAGGGACTCTCTCAGGGGAGCCAGGAACACTAGCACAGCAGGCGGTACACTGTGTACTTCCACCAGCACAGACGGCACCACACTAAGTTCTGTAGTCATAGCCACATCCACACACATACACACACCATCCCATTGACAGACCTTGGATGCCCAGGGTGCTCCACTGGCTCCGCGGAAGCCTCTGAGACAGGCTCCACAGCAGGCTGGCTGGCAGGCGGTTCACTGCTATTATCCAACACGCCCGTAGGATCTTCCTGGGATCGGGGGATTGGAAATCACCTTCCCTGAAGATATTTACATTAGCAGCTGCTCCCACATCGCAAGCTGAAACAAGATGACCCGGGAGACCACACAGATAACATGTAACAGGGAAACAGCTTAAGGGTTTGCTATCCGGGAGCAAAAATTGGTGATATACTAAACAGGATGAATATTTTTATGGCTGGAAATGGGGACTAACCCATTATTTGAATCAGTGCCGGTGGAAATGATGCAGGATGAGTTAGGAGTGAGGGACTGATACAGAGGTTTAAGACAGCCATAGAATTAGTTATGAGCAAGAGAGGAATCTCTATCATATATGGCATTCTTCCAAGATAGGGAGTTTGAATGAATAGTTGTCGAGGGCACTTGGTGTCAGTTGCCGACTGGACAAATATTGTATATCAAATGCAATATCATTCATTGATAACTGGGAACACTTCTATGGAAGGAATGACACGTATGCTCGGGATGTGGGTGCATTTATGTGGGGCTGGCGTTATTGTTTTTCCAACTCAATGGAACCTGTAGATGGAGGGGGTTTGAAGAGGTTTAAACTGTTAGTAGATAGTGGTATGGGAATTGATAAGGAGAAAGGGGGCAATAAAAGTATGCATTGGTGAGGGGGAAGGAAACTGGCAAAATGAACAGGGAAGGAGTAGGGCCTCAAAATAACCATACACTTAAGGTATATTACACAAACAGTAGGAGTCTAAGAAACAAAATAAACAATTTAAATACTCTTGTCTGCACAGAAACAAAAGACATTATTGCACTTACCAAAACATGGATGTATGTAGTAAACAGAGAACAATTAGCTGAATATCAAATAAACGGATTTAAACTATTTCACACAGACAGATATATTAGACGAGGAAGGGGAGTAGCCATATATGTTAGGGGAAATTTTGAGATGTAATCTCAAAGAAGGAATCAAAACTGAGCCACACTCACTGAAACTATTTGGCTAGAATTAAACGAAAAAGCGAAAAATCTTATAATAGGAGTTTTACAGGCCACCAAACTGAGACAGAATGGAAGCAAAGCATCTTTGGGATGAAATATCTAGATCAACTAGGTTTAACAGTATGTGTCATGGGTGACTTTCATTTTAGTGGAATAAACTGGCTTAACAGAACTGGGAATAATGAAGCCGAAGATTATCCAGAATTAATTAACGATTGCTTCCTTAAGCAACACATCAAAGAACCAATGCGTGAATATAATATTTTAGATTTAATGTTAACTAACAGGGAAACACAAATTAATGACATCGAAATAGGGAGTGAGCTAGGGAACAGTGATCAGAAAGAAAACAGATTTTGCATAGAATGTAATAGATTTGAAGGAGAAAATTCTGTTAAAAGTGTCAGATTTTCGAAAAGCTGATTTTAATCGCCTAATTTTTTGGGGGGTGAAATAGATTGGAAAGTCCTGGGCATGGGAGGGGGGGGGGGTTGCTCTTGGAACGAGGCGTGAATCCAGCGATGGGTGATGTAAAAAGGGATTTTAATGTGGATTCAAAATATAATTTATATAAAAATATTCTAAGCAAAGCACAGGAACGTTGTACGCCTTACAAATTTAATAGATAGGATAATAATGACACGAAATGGATAACAAAGGATCTGAAGAACCTTATAGGTAGAAAGAGAGCTTTGTACAAAAGGATTCAGAATAGGGAAGTCAGTTTAGAACATGAATTCATCTAACTTCTTGAGGTTATCTTGAGATGTTTTCGTTTTTTTTTGTTTTAGTGTCCCCGCGGCCCGGTCCTCGACCAGGCCTCCACCCCAGGAAGCAGCCCGTGACAGCTGACTAACACCCAGGTACCTATTTTACTGCTAGGTAACAGGGCTTGTTTCTCGCCGGGCCTGGGATCGAACCTGGGACCACAGGATCACAAGTCCAGCGTGCTGTCCGCTCGGCTCCCAACTTGTTCGAAATGTTAAAAAAAAAGAGATAAAGAGGGCAAAAAGAAACTATGAAAGTTCGCATAGCAGGACAAGCAGAGATAAATTCTAAAGTTTTTTTCAGTTATATCAAACAAAAATTAGGGAAAGGATGGGTCCATTAAAAACCGAGACAGGTCAGATAACTGATAACGACGAAGAGATTAGTAGTATTTTTAATAAATATTTTATCTGTATTTACTAAAGAGGAACGTAGCATTATGCCTTCAGCCGAACAAGTCTATGTGGGTGGGAAAGAGGACAGGTTGACTAGTTTAGCAGTTACCAGGAAGGATATTATTAAACAAATAGTGGAACTCAAGCCAAACAATCCCCCAGGGCCGGACGAAGTGTTTGCCAGGGTACTTAAAGAATGCAAAGAGGAGTTTTGCGAGCCATTGTCTACCATATTTAATAAATTATTGTAGTCAGGCAGCGTGCCAGAGTTGTAGAAGGTTGCTAATGTGGTACTAATTTTCAAGAAAGGAGATAGATCACTTGCTTCAAACAATCGGCTAATTAGCTTAACATATATTGTGGGAAAGTTACTTGAATCGATAATTGCAAATACCATTCGTAGTCATCTTGAAAAACCCAAATTAATAAATGATTTAGAATTTTCTCCTACAAATCTTTTCCATTCTATGCTAAATCTGATTTCTTTGTGAGCACTGTGCCCTAGCTCACTGCCTATTTTTATGTCATTAATTTGCGTTTCCCTGTTAGTTAACACTAAATCTAAAATAATATTTTCCAGCATTGGTTCCATAATGTGTTTCTTAAGGAAGCAATCGTCAATTAATTCTGGATAATCTTCTGCTACATTATTCCCTGTTCGGTTAAGTCATTTTATTCCACTTAAATTAAAGTCACCCATGACAAATACTGTTAGACCTAGATGATCTAGATCTTTTATCCCATAGATGCTTTGGTTCCATTCTGTCTAAGTTTTGTGGCTTGTATATAACTCCTATTAAAAGATTTTTATTTTTTTCGTTAAATTCTAGCTAAATATTTTCTGTGTGTGGCTCAGTTTGATTCCCTCTTTGAGACTACATTTCAAAATTTCTCCAACATATATGGCTATTCCCCCCTTCTCATCTAATATATCTATCTGTGTGAAATAGTTTAAGTCTGTTTATTTGATATTCAGCTAATTGTTCTCTTTCTACATTCATCCATGTATTGGTAAGTGCAATAATATGTATTATTTCTGTGCAGAAAAGTGCATTTAAATCGTTTATTTTGTTTCTAAGACTCTTACTGTTTGTGTAATTTACCTTAAGTGTATTGTTATCTTGAGGCCCTTCTCCTTCCTGGATCATTTAGCTATTCTCCCCCCCCCCCCCCAACACATACATTTATGCCTTCTTTCTCCATATAAATTACCATACCACTGTCTATTAACAGTTTAAACCCAAACAAACCTCTCCAACCACAGGTTCCAACGAGTTTGCAACAACAGTCACCCCCAGCCCTAAATAAATGCACTCCACCCCTAGCATATATATCATTCCCTCCATAGAAGTGTTCCCAGTTATCAATGAATGATATTGCATTTGTTTACAATATTTGTCCAGTAGGCAATTGACACCAAGTGCCCTCGACAACCATTCATTTCCAACTCCCTTTCTTGGAAGAATACCATATATGATCGGGATATTCCTCCCTTTTTCCTAACTAATTCGATGAGCGTCGTAAACCTTTGTATCAGTGCTTCACCCCTAACTTGTCCAATATCATTTCCTCTCGCACTGATACAAATAATGAGTTTTTTCCCATATCCAGCCATAATATCATTCAAGTTGTTTTCTATATCACCAATTCCAGCTCCCGGATAGCAAATAACCTGTTCCCCCCTATCTCTGGCAAAAAAAACTCTATCCAAAAATCTCACCTGGGAATCTCCCACAACCAAAATACGCTTAGGTACTTTTTTTACTTTGTGAGCACCTTGAGGGACCGGCACTCCCTTCGTTACCTTGCCTTTCGAGTGAACTGCAGTCTTCCTACAACATTCGTCTTCCAGAATGGCAAATGGGTTGGAAGCATTTATGATATCTGAAGGCGGCTTTGTCAGAGTCTTCTTAAGACCCCTGTCGGGATATCGCACTATATCCCTCGACAAGTACATTCCCACGTCCTGGTGTCACCAAGCATCCCTTTACAATAACCAGTGGAAACTTTATTCCACCTTATGCTCAACACCTTCCCATACTTTCCAAACAGCCTGATCAACAGCCCAACCGTCATTTTAAACGGGGCACCACGCAACACCACATTAAGTCAACGCCACACTCAGGTTAACTACTCGCACCGCACAAGCACCATCGGGCATAGGGAATGAGCATCCCTCACATCGATCAAGGAACTTCCTAAACACCTCAAGATGAACAAACTTCACCACACGGCAGTCTTGAAACTAGATGCACCCCCACCAGGTTCGTCAACTACTTCTTCTTGAGAATAGATGCAGTTTGCATGAAGGGGTAACCCTCCCGATGACTGCACCAAGACAGATGTAAGGAGACGCGTTGATGGTGAGGAGAAGAAAGTCAAAAGCGGTAGATGTGAAAGTCAAAAGCGGTAGATGTGAAAGTCAAAAGCGGTAGATGTGATGGGCCATAGAGAGAGGAGTGGCGACGAAAACAGAGGCGAACGTTAGAGGGAGACTCCCGCACCAGGGGGCGGGGAGTCGTGGTCACGGCGGCAGCTGATCCAGGCACGGCGTAGCCGAGTGCGCAAGATGGGAACTAATACTTCTCCGGAAACTTGCGTATCGGAAAGCGCAAGCAGTACGCTTTCCAAATCACCCACAGGTCGGCGGGCAGCCGGCCATCAGGCAGTACCCTCGGCTGAGACATCCTATCCGGCACCCTATAAACAAACACCTTCTCAGACGATACCCAGATAGTGGACGAGCACCACGGGATCGGAAGCACCCGGGCATCCCAATAAGGGCCCCAACTCCAAACCCTCACAGGGCACGACCCCAGCAGACGGGACTAGGCAACCACCAGACCGGGGCAATGAAGGAGGGGGAACAGCAGGGGATGCAGGCGCGGCAGCGACCCCACCACAGGGCACAGGAGCCGAGGCCCCCCGGCGCACATCTTTCCGCAACATCACGACGAGGTCCCGATCATCAGGGACAACCCCCCACTGCGGGGATCCAACAGCAGGTGACACAGGAAGGGGGACACAGGCAGCAACTTCGGAGCCCCGCACAGCACCATCATCCACGGCGGGGGACGCCAGCTGAGCACCATACTCCCCTACCTCCTCCCAAGGCACACCACGAAGGGGAGAGACACTCCGAGCCCGCCGCGAACGCTTCGATACAGGCCACACCACACCACGCCCAGCAGGCCCCTCCGCAGGCACGGCCACCATCGTTACATCCACACAGGCCACACCCGCACCGTCCGAAGAGTCCACAGAGGCCACATCACCCACACTGTCTACATCATCCACGGAAACAGCCTCAGAACACCGACGTGCACGCTTCTGCAAAGGAATGGAAAGAGCAGAACTACAGTCGTTAACACACACAGGCACGGCAGGCACCTCACCTTGCCGAAGCACCCCCTCCAAAACAGCAGAACCCGCGTCCCTGGGAGCCGTTACCACATCCACAGGCGGGGGTGGGACATGAACCTCCACCGGGACACCCTGCACTACATGCAGCGCAGGCGACGCCCCGTCACACTCACACACCGGCTCAACAACCCCAGGGGCCACAGCAGTCACCTGACGTGTCGCACGGGTTAGAGAACTCGCCTCAACAGGCGGAGCAGCAGACAGGCAGTCAGGCGCCTCAGGCACAGCACCCACACCATCCGAACGCAACAGGGGCGGAAAATCCTCCGCACGAAGAACATGCACCCGACCAGTTGCTCTCACGTCGCACGCCGCAGCCAGATGACCTTCGTGACCACACCGATAACAGGTGCGCGGTTGACCCCGGTACTGGCAGCGTAGCGTGTAACCCAACACGGACATCGACGACGGTACACTACACTTCAGCGACATCGTGAGGGTGCGGGAGCCGTCAAGCATACCAACACAGTGCCCGGCAACGACCTTATTCCATCGAACACCTAACACAGCCCCAAACCGTTCGAAACAGGAGGTTAAAAAGTCGTCCTGAAATTCGAAGGGGGCATCATGCACCGTCACAGACGTCAAGGTGACACTGAGATTCACTACCTTAACGGAGCCAGCAGTATCAGGGAGAGGTTAAACACGCCCCTCACACCGCTCGAGAAACGCCTGAAAGGCAGCCTGGAGGCGGAACTTGACCACAGCACGGTGGCCCTGAAGCAGCTGGATGCCCACCAGGTCCGACAGCTCCACATGCAGCACGTCCACCAGGGCGACACCAACCAATGGATGGTCCACCGGCACCGTAAACGCCAGACCAGCTGACAGCGTCCTCGTCATTGGAGGGCGAGACGTCCCCATGGCTAAGCAAACGTCACCCTTTCAGTGGCAAACCACCACCAGCAGGGCAAACAAGCTATCACCCAACGTAAACACTAGCCAGAAGTGGAGAGACCTCAGGAACGTCCGACCTGGCCGGCGGTCACCACGCAACTCCTCGTCAACTACACACTGAGTACCTCTACCAGCGTAATTACAAGGCCTTTATGGTCAACAGGTGCCGAAAACTCGAGACCTACTGATGATGTCCGCTTGAGATGAGGCAGTGATGACCCCATCCTGTAGCAACTGTACCATGCACTTACCGGGGTACCACACAGGGCACGGAAACAGTCACCCATATACTGACTTAATGCCTCGCCAAACAACTGAGGAACAATACTGGGGCACGTCCGCACCCTTTGGCGATCGACCAGCGAAATCATCAACGTCACCTATAGAATACTTGCATACTGTCATCCACACCAGCAATACCTGACATGGACAGTGCCATCCAAGTGACATTGTCCAAGCAAAGCCTACCGTAGCTCAGAGCTGTCACGTCCAATTCACGTCTGAAACTGATCCGCGGGTCTTCTTCGAACCTTCAATAACTGATATGTAATGGACTGACGTTCAGGCATCCTATACCACAGGATCTACAATCACCTTCTTTTGAGTGAACTCATAAGACTGGTACTTAGTAATTTGCTTATACATTTGTAGTATTTGTAACTTAGGTGCATTTATGGGTGGTAAGTATGGAAGCAGTAGCGAGTGAGTCGCAGACTGTGAGATTGACACACTTGCTCTTCAACTATCCTTCCTCTACCACAATAATAGCATCATTTACTGGACCAAACACATTCCCTATCACAACAAATACCTATACACAACAAATACCTATACACAACAAAAGCACCCTAGAACAGCATATACACCCTAAACACAACCTGTACAACCTCTATCACAACACATAAATCATCTAGAACATATCCACGCAGTATCTCATTAATTGCACACTTATCCAAAAATAAACACTCCAAACTTCTCAAGACTGGACATGGAGACCAAGCCTGGCACATACCCACCAGCAGGAGAGTGGGCGGGACTAGGAAGAGGAGGCCGACCACAGCCGCCCACACCTGGCCGCTGAAGGGGTGGTAGAGGCTCTGCCAACGGGGCGGCAACAGGGGTTTGGCCATGGCGAAGGTCATTGTGGATTCCTCGATCATGAAGGTAGAGTCAAGCTTCTGTCTGAGGTGAAACAACAGCGCCATCTTCGTTGACCTCAAGAAAGATGTCCGATTCTGTACGTCCTCCATGATCTGTGGGTGGTGGAGTATTGATGAGTGAAAAAGTGTTGGGACATTCAAGAGAAAATATTCCTTTATCACCCAGTTCTTGGTGCGTGCTAAATGGCAACGCAATATTTGCTGCTGTCGTAGTATTGTGTTAAATTATGAATGAATAGGCGCTTTGTAATGACGAGTGTCATTGGTCAAAACACCACTCACTTGTATACATAAATCTCTATGCCTTCTATAGGAAAGTATAATACGACAATGAATAAAAATTAATATATTAATCAGGGGAGATGGCCCTACAGGCGTACTTTTTGAGTTCATTGACCTTTTATGTAAACTATATAACAGGTGATAATGTTATGTATTGGTATTTTGCTGAAGAGGCAGAGACGACTTGGCATCACACACAGAATGCTACCTCGATCATCGTCGTCCACTCCATCAACAACACACAAAACGTTGTTTCAAGTTAAAAGTCGTTTGCAAACATTTACATTTGCGAATATAGTTGATCTACTTTATATGAATAATGGTAAATACCTCAATATTCAGTATATATAGTTGACAAATAATTATGACCTCAGAGAGAGAGAGAGAGAGAGAGAGAGAGAGAGAGAGAGAGAGAGAGAGAGAGAGAGAGAGAGAGAGAGAGAGAGAGAGAGAGAGAGAGAGAGAGAGAGAGAGAGTGAGAGAGAGTGAGAGAGAGAGAGAGAGAGAGAGAGAGAGAGAGAGAGAGAGAGAGAGAGAGAGAGAGAGAGAGAGAGAGAGAGAGAGAGTGAGAGAGAGAGAGAGAGAGAGAGAGAGAGAGAGAGAGAGAGAGAGAGAGAGAGAGAGAGAGAGAGAGAGAGAGAGAGAGAGAGAGAGAGAGAGAGAGAGAGAGAGAGAGAGAGAGAGAGAGAGAGAGAGAGAGAGAGAGAGAGAGAGAGCGAGAGAGAGAGAGAGAGAGAGAGAGAAACGAGAGAGAGAAATAGAGAAACACATCGAGACAGATATAGACAGACTTATGTTACAATATTTGTATATTGTAACATGTCTGTCTTGTATTATATATCGTGTAGTGTATGGGAGTAGATTCATTTATAAGGCGGAGGAGAACTTGCTAATATTTAGGGAGGCTTCAGTGCTGACTCATGTGTTGAGATTTTGGAGGAAGTGACGGTGTCTTCTTTGTGTGCCTATGGTCTTCCCTACCCTGAACAAATAATATGCATGCAGGTATTGTATTGCTTATTTAATAAAGATTTACCACCAAATAGGCTAACATAATCCTACCTTTCAGTCAATAATGTTACTGAGGCTTTGCTATTGGTCATTTATTATACTAGGTTCATTGTTTTCTGTTAAGCTTAAGCTTAAAATATGTTATAAAATATTCGCCCTGAATTGTTAATAGCTAATGTTAATTTGTGTTATGAATCACTTAAGTGGCTAGAGTCTGAAGGAGCGAAGTCGGCTGAGGAGGTCAAGAGGCTTATGGTCATGGAGAAGTTTATGCCCGTGCTCTCTCCTGAGATCAGGGTGAGAGTAAAGGAGGCGGACATAAATGACCATGAGGGCCGCAGCCGACAGAGTCGACATGCTGGAAGAAGCCTTACGCCCATGCAGAGAGGGACAGCACCGACCGCCCGTATACTCCGGAAATGGTAGAAATTATAAGAGGACGGACGGATGGAGGACAGGAGCGAGTTCTCCCAAGTCCCACCTCTCGAGTGGGGACAACAGAGGATCGAAGAGTGCTGTGGAGCCGGTAAAGAAGTCCCAAGCTGAGAGCTCAGGAGTTGTTGCTGCGACGAAGGAGTCGACGGATGGTGTGAAGAAGACACACGGAGCGATGGCCTCTAGAGGCGGTGCCAGGGCGAGCGGTGGTGGATGGTCTCCGACGGGGAAGATCCGCTGCTACAACTGCGGAGTATTCGGACACGTCGCGCGGGACTGCAGTCGCCCTAAGCAGCGGGGGAACGTTGCTTTCGTGAGGGTCGAGGACCAGATGGCCGAGAGGGTGCGGGATGAACCCGTACTGAGTGGGGAGAAAAGAGTTCATCCATTCGTGTGTGAGGGAACCGTAAGGATGTGGGACGCAGACCCCATCCCGGTGAAGATATTAAGAGACACTGGGGCAGATTTTACCCTGGTGAGCGAAACCCTGTTCCCCGAGGGTTACGAGAGTACCAGTGTGGGGGTGGCAAGTGTGACCACTGTGGGAGGCCCAGTGAGGATGCCCCTACACCAGGTGACTCTGAATTCTGATTATGGCTGCCAGACCCTTGTGGTGGGGGTCTGTGCATCAATGCCCAAGATGGAGGCACAAGTCATCTTGGGAAATGACGCATGTGAAGGATATGTCCTCCCGAATCTCGTGAAGGGCGAGGAGTGCTTAGAGCACTATAAGGAGACGGGCGGAGTGTTAGACGCCTGTGGGGACGAGAAAGGAATCGCCACGGTGGCGTTCCCGGTTTGTGCTGTGATGCCAAGGCAGTGCGAAGGACACGGAGGGTGCGAATCTAATGGGGCTGAGGAGAACCCTGGGAATCGATCACCTCTTCATGGGACCCGGAGAACGAGCGGAGGGCGAAGGCAGCCCGGATGGTGAGTTGCAGGTGACCCTCACCAGTTCTCTAGGGGTCGACCGCACTCGTCTTGGAGAGCTGCAGCAGATAGAGTTCCCCAAACTGATTCATGAGGCAAATGGAGGACGTGTTGGTCCTGAGAGGGCCACTCATTTTTACATACAGGACGGCATGCTGATGAGACAGTGGAGGCCGGTGAGGATGGAGGCCGGAGAAGAGTCTCTAGGTACGAGGCACCAGGTAGTGTTGTGGCCCAGTGCAGAGCGGCAGTGTTGGACCTATCGCACTCTGTGGACTCTGCAGGTAACCTGGGGGTAACCAAGACGCTGCGAAAGATCAGGGATCATTTCTACTGGCCAGGTATGGACGCCGATGTGAGGCGTTATTGTAAAACGTGCTTACCTTGCCAGAGGGCAGGGAAGAGCCAACCCGTGATACCGAAGGCCCCGTTGGTCCCTGTTCCTGCGTTTGGGCCTGCATTCGAGCGTCTATTGGTCGATGGGGTGGGACTGTTGCCACGGACGAAACGAGGGAATACCTACCTGATGACGATCATGTGTGCGTCCACCAGATTTCCAGAAGCCATCCCGATGCGACGTTTGACGTCGAGAGGAGTAGCCGGGCCACTACAACGATTTTTCTCTTGGGTGGGGATGCCCAGAGAAATTCAGACAGACTGTGGAAGTATATTCCAGTCTAAGTGGTTCCGACAGACAGTGACAAGTTGGGGAGTGACTCAGATTCGGTCGTCGCCCTACCGACCGCAGTCGCAAGGGGCGATCGAAAGGTGTCACTCCACCTTGAAGACCGTTCTGAGAGTGTTCTGCGCAGAACAGGGGGCTGAGTGGGATGAGGCAGTATACCCCGCGTTGTTGCCATACGTAACGCGGTGGTGGAATCGTTAGGTTTCTCACCTTTCCAGCTTGTGTAAGGACATGAGGTGCGAAGTCCTCTGTCCATGCTGAAGGAACAATGGACACCAGGAATGACCGTGGGAACGGTCAATGAATACGTTCAAAAGTTCAAGGAGCGTCTCACTCTAGCAAAGGAACTAGCTGGGAAACATCTGAAGGAGGCGCAGCGTAAGATATCGGAATGGTACGACAAGAGAGCTACGCGAAGGGAGTTCCAGGTTGGGTCCCAGGTGATGGTATTGCTGCCGGGTAAGAGTAGAGTGACCGAGTCGCGGTTCGAGAGACCATACCAGGTGCTACGGCGGTTGGGTCCTGTATCGTATGAGATCGGGAAACCATGTAGACCGCTTGAAGCCTTTCTTCCCTGAGGAAGGAGGAGCCGCCGTGCAGGACGGGACGGTGACCCGAGACCCCCAGCAGAAGACGATTTTGTGCATGCAGGTGGACCAGGAACTTCCAGAGGAGGAAGGAAAGTGGTCCAGGGCGGACGGCACCCGTCTCACCAATACGGAGAGTCTGGCGAAGATCGAGGACAAGCTACAACACCTGGAAGGGCAACAGAGCGCGGACCTGACGAACCTACTGAGGGAGAATGCCTTTCTCTTTACCGAAAGCCCCGACGACACAAGAGTGTAACGCACGAGGTGGAGGTGAGGGACGCCAGGCCCGTCAAGCAGAGCGCGTATAGGGTAAGCCCGGAGAAGCGAGAGCTGATGAGGAAGGAGGTGGAGTATCTCCTTGAGAACGACCTTGCGGAGCCTAGCAAAAGTGAGTGGAGTTCCCCATGCTTGTTAGTGAAGAAAAGCGATGGTACCTTCCGCTTTTGTACAGACTACAGAAGGGTGAAATCCATCACTGTGGCAGACTCTCACCCCATGCCAAGAGTGAGCGATTGCATCGACCAGGTGGGCAGTGCAAGGTACGTATCCAAGGTCGATCTGCTCAAGGGGTACTACCAGATCTCTTTGACTCCTGAGGCCAGGAAAATATCAGCTTTCACAACACCTGACGGGCTGTACCAATACAAGGTGTTACCCTTTGGAATGAAAAACAGCGGTAGCTGTTTCCAGCGCATGATGAATGAGTTGCTAAAGGGGGCCGAAGGTTGCACAGTATACATCGATGACATCGTCATGTACGCCGACGATTGGAAGACGCACCTGAAAAGACTCAAGGAATTGTTTAGAAGGCTAGAGGAGGCTAACTTGACTGTAAATTTAGCAAAGAGCGAGTTTGGGAAGGCCCACTTGGAGTACCTAGGCTTCGTCATCGGCCAAGGAGAAGTAAGCCATGTAGATCACAAAGTGTCAGCCATTAAAGAATACCCCGTGCCCAGAACACGTAAAGAGTTGTTACGGTATCTCGGGATGATAGGATACTATCGTGGGTTCTGCAGGAATTTTTCCACGGTAGCGCATCCCCTGACCGAGCTATTCTCCAAGAATGTGTGATGGAGATGGGGAGAGGCCTGCCAAGAGTCTTTTGAGAAGACCAAGAAACTGTTGACGGAGGCCCCGGTATTAATATCCCCAGATTTCTC